ACGATCTTTTTAATAGATATCTTTTCTATCTAAATCTAGTAGTATTCTTAAATAAGATTAACTTTTAAGAGTTATTAAGTAACTTCGATAATATTAAGATAGTTCTAGATTCGAAGTAAAGAGTAGATATTCTTAATAGTAATATTATTAAAAAGACGATAGTTAATATATATTCGCTATTTATCTCTAGATTTAGGTATAAAGAGTATAGAGAAACTCTATAGACTCTCTAAGAGTCGGATTAGACTCTATTCTAGTAAAGTATAAATTTACTAATCTTATTTATCTCGATATTCTTTTAATAAAGAGTAGTAGAGTAAGTTAATAAACTTAGTATCGTCTATATCGATTTCGTACTTAATATTCCGCTTTATTAGAAACTTAGTAGATAGTTCTTCTTAAAATACTATTTTAAATCTTTTAAGAATACGCCTAAAATACCTATTCTTAGTTCTAGATATTAAAGAGATTACTTTATCGCTAGAACTCTATTCTCGTATAAGATATAAGATAAAAGTCTAGTCGAGTATAGATAGTTTAGAAATTATCTTTTAAGTCTTTCGAAAGCTAAGTAGATTTAATCTAGCCTCTTTAATACCTTTATAGTTAATAGTTTAAAAGAGTCGAAGAGATATCGAAGTTAATTTCCTAGTCTTATTATATACTATTATATATAAATAACTAAAATCCTAGAAAGCGCTATACTTCTTTAGCTAGTTAAGTCTAAGAATAATATCGTACGCGTTCTAATCTAAGATATAAAATATCGTTTAAGCTCGAAAGTTATTAATAATTAGGCCTATTATAATAGCTTAATTAAAAAGAGTCGTCTCGCTATTAATAAGATATACTTAAAGAGATAATCTCTAGATAATTTTATAGTTCTTATCTAGTCGCTTAATAACTCTTGTTAAGATATAGAAGATATCGAAGCTTATATTAAGAAAAACCGTAACGAGATAAGAGTTACTATACTATTCTAGTAATTCGCTAGTAATATTATATCTCTAGATATAGTCTAAGTTATAATCGAAGACTTCGATTATATTAATAGTAATATCTATTAGATTATTAAAAGAAAAGTTAGAGTCTAATAGACTCGTATCGATAGTCTTTAAAGAGTTTATAACTTCTTTATTATCGCTAGATATTCTACTATCTAGCGACTCTTCTCTTTTCTTTAATAGCCTCGTTTTATAGACTTCTTTAAATTAGAGTAATCTTTCTTTTAATAGTCGGCTTCTTTATAATCGAAGTAGAGACTATTATTTTAATACTCTTAATAAAAGCTACTTAAGAATCTATATCTATTTCTATAACTATATAAGATTTTAGTCTTAGTAGATAAGAAGAATCTTAGTTAAAGACTATTAAAAGCTATCTTAATATTACTATTAGTATTCTTACGATCTAGTTAGGTAGTCCGAGAAGATTAAGAAGATTTTTCTAAGAAAAATCTTCTTAAGTAATCTCGAAAAGAGACTATTCTATATATATTAGCTTATATCTCTCTTTCGCTTTTATTTATAAAAAGGGCGTAATCTCTATAATTTTAGAGAAGTATAGTATTTAAAAGAAGTTTTATTCGATTCTAAATAGTCGTTTTAAACTCTTATTTAAAAACGAATAGATATTTAACGTCGCTAAAGTTAAAGTCGAGATATAATTAAAGAGTTTTAATCTTCTATTAAAACTCTTATACTATTTTTATTTATTTAAAAAAGTCGAACTTATCTCGATATTACTTCTACGTTCTAATATCGCTAAATATTATCTAGAATACTTTCTTTTATATCTTCTAGTTAGTTAGGAGTAGATTAGTTCCGAGACTATATTTTATATCTTAATATATAAGATTCTACTATATTAAGGTATTATCTTCGAGATAAGAAGTTACTAGAGTAATACGTTCGTAGTCTATTAAAGAACGTTTATTAACGACTTTCTTTATATCTAATTATCTTTCGATATAGATTAGCTAGACTTATACTATATTATTATTTTAATAATCTTTATATTTTAGAGACTTTTCGATTTCTATTTCGTTAATATCTTAGAATAAATCTAACGATAAATACTACTATCTAGATAAAGATCTAGATATATTTATCTAGTTTATAGATAAGAGGATAATTCTTAATAGACTATTTATAGATATTAAAGCGAAAATTTTAGAAGTTCTATAATATTATAGATAATTAATAAGAGTCGCTATAGTCCTTTCTAGATTTCTAAGATAATCTTCTTCTAGAATTCTATATATTCTCTATAAATTAGCTTCTTTTATAGAGATATTAATTTCTAATACTACTATTACTAGAGTTAAGAGAATATTTATATAATATTTAGTATAAAAGAGCTTTCGAATATAGTTTATAAAATATAAATAAGAAACGAATAGAAGATAATATATAATCGAAGAAAGATAAGTAATCTTAAAGAGAATATATTCTTTATAGAAGCTTTTACCTTATTTAGCGAGAGCGCTTTATAACTAGCTCTCGATATTCGAAACTATCTCTAGTTAAATAGTATTCTATCCCTTAAGAGATCTTATTATATATCTTTCTTTAATTAATCTATTATTTTCTATTATTTATAATAGTACGAGTAGATCTAGATAGATCTAGATAACTATCTAGTTTCTACTAGTATAGTTTAGATAAAGTTCTAATAAAGAGTTTATTTTAGTAGTAATATCTCTTTCTCTATTAACGCGTTAAGCTCTTTAATAATACTATTATTCGTAATATTTAGGCTAATAAAACGTAATTAAGAATATCGAAGTAGTCGTTACTATTATATCTTAGTTATATCGCTAGCTATTATTTATAGCTAAGGATATCTAAAGATAGCGAGACTAAAATTTTTAGGAAGAAAAGTTACTATTTACTACTATAATTTATCTTTCTTAATAAGAAATTTTTATCGCTACTCGTCGTTCTAAAAATATAATTCTCGTAAGCTTTCGCTACGAAACTAGAAGAGATTCGTCGAGCGTAGAAGACGAGCTTCGAGCTAGAAAATTTTCTTATCGATTAGTTTCGCTATATATCGAAACGGTTTTATTTATCTTTAATCGACTTCGTATAGAAGAGTATCGATCTCTCTAGTAATCGACTACGCTTCTCTTCTTCTTAAGAGAGTATAGAAGTCCTTATAGACTCTAGTTTAAGATAGAGAACTATCTCGTCGCCGCTACTAAATATAATTTTACGGAGAACTTATTCTATTTTAACGGGGCCTAGAGCCTCGTTAGACTATATACTTTCTAGGGGTTATACGATAGTGTACGACGCTAGTCGAGATCGAAAGACGGTTCTCGACGTCTTTACAATGCTTGGCACGTAGGGTGCCCATTTTGTCACAAAGTCAGTATGTTGAGGACGTGATGGCTTGAGACACCGTTAGAGCATTGATTAACTTGAATTGGTTAGTCTATTTATGGTGTTCCTCTAGCGTGTTAGTCTAACCCACTATCGCCGTAGCTTGGGGCGCAAAAGACTGCTATAACGTGGCTTTAGCCCCACTTCGGACATTTTAATCCCCGGTTCTTGGCATAAAAAAAAGTTCGGAGTTCGAGTTGCAAGACTTACAGATACTGTAGATGTCTTCATCGCCCTTAAACGATAATAACAACGCTGCGAGACCTTTGGCTGGGCTTACTGGACGAGGCAGATTGAAACACTAGTCCTCGATGATTTGGTAAAGCGAGCTTCCTCGCCGTATCACAGTGGCTCGGAAATGTCTGTGAAGGAATCCCAGCCGGACCAACATTCTCCAAAACGCCGGAAATTAAGCCACGGTGCGGATGAGAGGGACAACGACAAGTCGAACATATCACAGAAATCGGAAGTGCCAGTTAAGGACGTTGGCGTAACTGGCAGCGGTCAGAAGAAGCAAGCTGCTCGTCGAGACTCTATCACGAAAGGCTCGATGGCCACCAATTCCACCGTCCTTCCTACAGGGGGACTCAACAAGTCATCGGTCCTAGCTCTGCAAGTGGCCGACTTGAACGAGGAACTGACCCCGAGCTACCAGAGATTACGATCGAAGTGGCATGGGGTTGCAAGCAAGTTGGAGACCATTATTAAACAGACACCGTCGAGGCCGCCCACAACAGCTACCGATGCGCGGAAATCATTCAGCAAGCAAGGAATCAAGATTCCATTTCCTGAGCCTCAGCCAACCAAGGAGACGAATTACAAATTCAACTTTCAACCTCCCAAGCAGATCATCATTGGGGGAGCATTGCCTTTGAGTCTATGTCTGAAGCACGAGTATACCGTCGAGCTGACGGCAATCATGCCCGAAGATACTCTGCAAGAGAAAGACTACCTTAACGCTCGCGCGCCTCACAAAGCTGCATTCTACCTTGCATGTATTGCATCTTATGTCAAGGAACAGGAGGGGTCCAATTACGACCTCTCTCTTGCCTATATGGATGACGTCCATTTTCTACCTATACTCGAGCTTGTGTCTAAAGATAAAGCCCTATCAAAATTCAGGTTTCGTGTTGGTGTAGGCTTCCCAGATGCTTCGATACCGGTTGCCAAGACGCTGCCGACGAAGAATTGTCTCCGTCATGCAGCATCCGGGGAAAAGACGAACCTTGATCGGCCCACTCCGTTTTACAACAGCAGCATCCGTTCTGCCGCATCTATCAGTACTTTCGAAGACCTTGTGCAGAAAGCCAGGAGTCCAGCCTTCGAAGATGCATGTCGCATTGGCCAGCAATGGCTAAAGCTTCGTGGCTTTTCCAGCTCCTGTAGGACAGGAGGGTTTGGCTGGCGGGAGTGGTGCTATATGAGCGCTTTGTTGCTACGCGGAGGTGGACACAAGGGCCATCCGCTGTTTTCCAAGCAATATAGCAGCGTGCAATTTTTCAAAGCTATGCTCCAAATCCTAGCTGGCCGAGATCTGCGAGATCCCATGGTGGTGAACAGCAGCACCAAGATCGAACTCGAACGGTCTGATTGTCCGATCCTTTTTGATGCAAGAACCGGAGTCAACATTCTGTACAAGATGAGCTCCTGGTCATATCAGTCTCTGCGACACCATGCTCAAATCTCTCTGGCAGCGGTCAATTCCCGAACTGAGGACAGTTTCGACTCAACTTTCGGCGTGAATGTGGCTATACCAGAGTTGCAGTACGATCAACTGTTCACAATCAAGATTCCTGCAGCAATTTACAAGACCCCTGCGGATGAGCGCGAAGGCCTTTTGAAGTTGCATAGGATTTTAGACAGAGGTTTAGGTGATCGCGCGACACTTGTGGACTTTCGGATACCGTCGCGGCCCAGCTGGTCTCTCAATAAAGAAGCCACCTTGGACATACGGGGAGAGTATGAATTGGAGATCGGGCTAATCACAAATCCCGACAACGTGTCTCGTCTTGTGGATCACGGTCCGGCAGCAGAGGAGCAGGATGAAGCAGCTGAATTCCGGAGGTTTTGGGGCGAAAAGGCAGAACTACGGCGCTTCAGGGATGGGAGCATCTCCGAAAGTCTGGTGTGGGCTCCGGGGACTTCGGTGCCGCTGCAAATTATCTCGCATCTCGCAATGCTCCATTTCAAGATTCCACCCAGCTCTGTCGAAGCCAAGGGCCAGGATTTGGAAGTGAAAATTCTTGGAGATGGGTCACCAGTAGGCGCAAAGGACGCCTTCAGGATCATTGGGTCAACCTTCCAAACCTTGACTTCGACCCTGCACGGTCTGGACGGTCTCCCGCTACCTATCCGGTCGATATCTCCTACCGATCCTGGTCTGCGCTCTGCTTCGGTGGGCCATCCACTACTGCCCCAGACAACCCGTCCTCTGAATTTCGTCATTCAGTTCGAATCCTCCACGAGATGGCCCGACTCTCTCCCTGCCATCCAGTACACGAAAATTGCGTTCTTGCTCAAGGTCGCAGAACTTCTGGCGGCGACGAATTCCAGCCTTGAGACCCGCGTGGGCCTAGAGAACACCGAGACGTCCGTCACCGGGCACTTGAACACCTCATTCCTAGATATCATCTACCCATCCCCAGGGCCAGGCTTAAGTCCAATCTGTTTCCGAGCTCGGATTCACCATGATCGAGAAGAACATCTGCTCCAAGCAGCCCTGGCGGACAAGGAGATCCACGGCTCCGTTCGAGACTCGCTCACCGCAGCACTTGCAACATACAGACGGGACTTCCTTGCACAGCCCGGCCACACGACGGCAATTCGAAACCTATGCACTCGATTCGCGCCTCTGTCGGCAACGATGCGGCTCTTGAAAAAATGGGTATCGTCTCATCTGCTCCTACAGCACATTCCTGAAGAAGTACTCGAGATCATCGCAGCACAAATCTTCCTCCATCCTACGCCGTGGTCAACACCAGGTTCTTCCACAACTGCGTTCCTGCGTTGTCTTCGCTTCTTATCTCGGTGGGATTGGTCGTCTACGCCCCTGATTGTCGATCTCAGCTTGTCGCAGGACATGCCGGCCTCACAACTGTCGGATCTGCAAACCCGATTCCAAGCGTGGCGGAAGCTCGATCCAAGCATGAACAATGTGGTCTGGTTCGTCGGCACGAATCTCGACGGTACAGGAACGGTCTGGACTCAAGGTGCAAGGCCGCCGCGCGTGGTGGCCGGCCGGTTGAGCGCACTCGCCCGCGCCGCTGTTGACGTCGTCGTGGCGAAGGGCACACAGATGCACGACTCGGACTGGACCGATCTATTCACCAGCCCCTTGACAGATTTCGATTTCCAGATCCATCTCAGGCCGTCGGTGCTCCGTTCCCATAAATCGAAATCCGCCCGTCTGTCCGGCGATGCTGCTGGGGAGTTCAAGAACCTCCAAGTACAGGAGGCTCTCGATACTTCGTCCATCGGACACGACCCTGTCGAGCTGTTTGTGCGTGACCTCAATCATGCGTTCGGCTCTGCTGCCGTTTTCTTCCACGACCCGCATGGAGGTAAGGTCGTTGCGGGCCTGTGGAAGCCCAATGCGCTGGGCACAAAGGAGTGGCGCGTCAGACTGCCTTGGTCGAGCGTGCCGGTGCCGGGCTCCAAAGGCGACCAAGAAGGCGGTGGCGAAAAGGAGATGTGTACTCTCAACAAGGACGGTGTCCTGGCTGAAATCGCCATGCTGGGAGACGGTATGGTCAAGGATATCACCGTGAAGGAGGAGTAGTAATAGTAGTATCTGATACCGTCGACCAGTGTGTCTAAGCGGACAAGGAAATGGTTTGATAATGTGATCATAGTCCGAGCATTGGGATCACAATAATGTATCCTCCTACATCTCTCTGTCTATGCATACTTCATAATGTACATGCCATCCTGAAGAAACGACGCGCGCAGAGCCCCGTGTGACACCTCTATGGTGGATGTAACAAAATATCACATAGAAGATCAGGGTTAACATTCCACTCTTTTCGGCCGAAGCAGAACCGTTATGCCATAAGGATTCTAAATGTATTTCCTCTCAGGATCGACGAGATCCAAAAGTTCCATAGTCTTTTCATACATGGTAAACACAATCCCACCACTCAAAGTGAGACGGCCCAACCGCGGCAGAGCGCCAGACCAGAATGTCAAGATCCCTTCCTTCTTGAAGATCTCGGTGGCACAATGCAGACTGTTCCTGTAAGTCTTCTGGGCTTCCAAGCTCTGCATGCGCGTCTTAACCGTGTCGAGCGGCATGGTGGCGTAGACAGTAACGACACCGGCAGCGGCGCCGAGCCCAAAAGTCGTGAGTGATCCCAACTTCTCCCCGGGCGCCACATAGCCTTCAGCGAACTGTTTGAGACTCGTGTACGTACTGAACCGGACCGCACTGTTCGCGGCCTGGCGTGCCGTCGTCGGGACAAACCCTTGCATGAACCCTCTGAACCCCTTCTCGCGCCAGATCACCATCGACCCGTGGATGAACCCGCGCATGCGCGGTTGCGCTCGCTTCGCATCGTCCACTAGTTGTGTCTTTATCGATTCCGACGGCGTCACCGCCAGTAGAGATTCGGTGATGCCTGCGCCAAACCCGGCCGCTACTGTTCGAGGGCCTGAAATGTGTCCGTCTGCATCTGAGAGCAGGTGCTTGTACGTGTCGAAGGACATGAACCGCACCCCGGCCTTTACTGCGTTCCCTACAATCGCCGTCGTGCAACCGGTGTACCATTCCTTCGAGGGGAACCGAGGTAAAGGGACTTTCTTTGCGTCGGGTAGTCGTCGGTTGAGTTGGGACCGTGTCTTGAGCAGATCGAAGGGGTAGGTGATCGCTGCATTGAGGGGAAAAGATATGAGTATAGTTCAACAGAGAGGAACTAAGGACCACCGAATGGGTCGGGAGTTCGTCGTGCTTCTGAGAAGAACTAGCAGAGAGACACACCTATTTCAACTGCTCCAGCCGTAGACCCTGCTATGATGGAGCGCAATGCGCTGGGCTGTTCATGCGGTCGGTTAGTCGTGTATGACTCCTACTACTCTTCGGTCCTTGCAGTGCAGAGCATACCTTTGGCTTCGACCTGCCATCATTGGAGGCGGCCGGGGCCGCGGCCATTATTCAACGAAAGAAGGGCAAGGTCTGAGAACTTGAGGACGAGAGTTCCACCATCAGCAAGCGGTCGGACTTGTCGACATCTCGAACTGCGTGACCAAGTTCGACAAAATCTGGTTCGCCGTAATTGTCGTTGAAATTGCGGGATTGAGCGTGCATCGGATTTAGCCGTAATGCCGCATCGCTGTTAGTATCGAACTAGTACATTAGTCTACGATTTCGGTGAGTTATTAGAGTGGTTTTCGCGTAAGGTCGTTTACTAGCATGGCACCAAACGATCTTCGCCTCGACTCACGCGTCGGAGACGCGCCTGCGTTGCCTGCACTGGCAGTGGCCGCAATTCACTTTCCCTCAATCTATCAAGTACAATAGTCGCCAGCATTGACTTTCAACGACTGGAAATCCATACAGGTCGCCGTCATGGCGCCGCTGAAGCGCTCAGCGCCTTTCGATGACGGAGACAGCAACGATGACAGCGACAACAATGTTGAGAGGAGCAGTCGAGTGGCCACCCCGGCCTCGAGATCATCTGTACGCATCTTCTTCTGACCAAGGCTAATCGTGAAGACCATATCTGACAGCTGCGCAGAATAAAAGACGGCGAACTAGCGACGAATCCTCCGTTCGCAGGGATGCATCGAGCGACAATGAAGAACGCGCGAATGCAAGCACCCCTCCTTCCGAGTTGGACTCAGACGATGACGGGGAGGACGAAGAGGCAATGCTTGCTGCCACACAAGCAGTCGAAGCGAGGAAACACTCCAACAGAACAAACAACAATGAACCGGCGGCACACGGTATTCTCGAGGAGGTGGAACTGGAAAACTTCATGTGCCACAAGGGTATGGTGTTCAAGCTGGGCCCTTTGATCAACTTCATCTGCGGCAAAAATGGCAGTGGTAAAAGTGCCATCTTGACGGCTATCGTTCTGTGTCTTGGAGGGAAAGCGTCCGCGACGAATCGGGGCGCAAAACTACAGAATTTCATAAAGGAGGGCGAGGACCATGCCCGCATCCTCTGCAAGATCAAGAACCAGGGCGACCACGCATACATGCCGGAACTGTATGGCAACACAATCCAGGTCGAGAGGCACTTTTCGCGTTCGGGTGCCAGTGGGTTCAAGCTCAAGTCTGAGAAGGGACGCATCATTTCCACCCGGAAGTCTGACCTCGAGGAGATATGCGACCACATGATGCTGCAAATTGAGAATCCGATGACCGTCCTGTCGCAAGATCAAGCTCGTCAGTTCATTGGCTCGTCTAGCCAAACGGAGAAATACAAGTTCTTCATGAAGGGCGTGCAGCTCGAGCAGCTCGATCAAGATTACCGGCTCATCGAGGAACAACAAGAGAACATTCGTGCCAAGATCGAGGACAAGATTCCAGACTTGGAGGATCTGAAGAAAAAGTATGAAAGGGCCAAGAACAAGCAGGAGCTATCCCAAAAATACGACAGTATGTTGGATAAGGCTCGTGATCTCCGCCGCATCATGGCTTGGGCCCAAGTGGCCGAGCAAGAAAATATCAGAGAGTCTTACGCTGAGCTGGTACGCGAAGAAGATGCCAAAATAGCGCAGGCTGAAGCCAGACTTGAAGAACTCGACCAAATCTTCCAGGAGTCTGACCGGGCCGCCACGGAAGCAAAGGAGGCGTATGATGCGGCCAGAGGGGTCGTTGAACAAATGCAAGAGGAGAAGAATGAAGCAAAGGCACGGCAGGAGGAAGTCAAGAGGGAGACTTCGGAGGCTGTGGCTGAACAGCGGTCAATCCGTGCGGCGTTAAAGGAGGCCGATCGGACAATCCAGGCTAAGAAAGAAGCCATTCGAGAAGAGGAACAACGGTTGGCCGAACTTCATGGTGGTGGTGCTGCCCAGCGTATATCCGATCTTGAAAGCGCGCGGAATGCTTTAGAAGAAGCCAGGAGGTCTCACGCGGAGCACAAATCACAGCGAGAAGGCTTACTAAAGGATACTGTGACCATGGCAAACGCTGTCCAAGAAGCAGAACAGGCAAAAAATGCACAGCAACAAAGAGTCAGACAGCAGGAACAGAACCTCAGACAGTTGATGGAGCACCGCAATTCTCAGGACTTGTCATTTCACCAGAACATGCCCAATCTGCTGAAAGCCTTGCAACATGAGAGAGGATTTCAAGAGCAACCCATTGGGCCGCTAGGAAAACACGTGAGGTTGCTCAAACCGGAGTGGTCTTCCATCCTTGAGAAATCGTTCGGCAGCGGACTCAACTCATTCATTGTATTCGGCAAGAGCGATGAAATCTTGCTGAGCAATATCATGCGCCGAACGAAGTGTGTTCTTCCCATCTTTATCGCCAACCGCCAGCCTCTCAACATCAGGGAACCAGACCCTCGCTTCGACACGGTTCTAAGAGTGCTGGAAATTGACAATGAGGCAGTCAAAAAGCAGCTTGTGATAGCGAACGCTATCGAACAAACTATCTTGATCCCTGACATGTCTGAAGCATCAGACGCGCTCTATTCTAGCGGGCAGCCTTTGGAGAATGTCAAGAGATGCTACTGTTTCAGCCCGACTAGCCGGCTAAGAGGAGCAGCGTTGTCCTATCGGAATGGACAAGCCGCTCAAGATCCGATCCACGAGTTTCACGGTACCCCACGGATGCGTACCGATATTGACGAAAGCATACGTCGGCAAAAAGAGGCAGTGCAAGAGTCGAAGGACCAGTTGCGCAATGCCGAAGAGGAATGGCGCAGTGCTCGCAACCGACATCAACAATCGAACCAAGCTCTCGTCCGTCACGATCGAATGGACAGAGAATTAAAGATTGTGGTCCAGAAGGCAGAGGATGCGGTCGAACGCTTGCAGGATGCTGTCATGGAAGACGAAGTGGAGAGCGGCAAATTGGAGGTCCTACATCAACAATTAACGGAGGCAGAGGAACAGAAGACTGTGCATGAAAGCTCCTATGTCGACTCCGTTACCGGTCTTGATAAGCTGAAAGCACGACTACGAGAGGCGACCGAGAAATTGAATGAACTCGACGAACGCATCAGAGACGCGGAGGCCGCGGCTGCTCAGGCCCAGTCTGTCGCACAGAAGGCTGGCAAGAAGAGAGCATTCGATCTAGGAGAGAAGAACAATCTCATTGCCCAAATCGAGGATAGCAAACGAGACCGTGCTGAGTCCCAAGCCAATGTGGCTAAGATGGATGAGAAGATCGCCAACTTTTCCGAACAAGCTCGCGCAGTGTGTGAGCGGGTCAACGTCCCTGAAGGCGAAACCCACGAAAGCTTGCAGAAAAAGTACAAGCGAATCCAAGCAGATTACCACAAATATCACGATCGAATCGGCGACCGGGAACAGATTGCGACAGAAGCTGCCAAATGGTCCAAGGCTTACGAAAATGCGAAGAAAGAAGTCAAAAGCCTGGAAAATCTCCGCGACAAGCTTACCGAGACAATGGTGCAGCGACGGTACCGATGGAAACAGTTTCGAAATTTCATTTCGCATCGGTCCAAGGCTTCCTTCATGTATATGCTGAGCGAGAGAGGTTTCCGTGGAACACTGACCCTGGATCATAAACAAAAGTTGATGGACATTCGGGTCGAGCCCGATATCACCAGACGTGATGGCACAGGACGCAGCGTGCGGACACTATCTGGCGGTGAGAAGTCGTTCTCTCAGATTTGCCTGCTTCTTGCGATCTGGGAGGCGATGGGAGCTCCTATAAGATGTCTGGATGAATTTGACGTGTTTATGGACGCCGTGAACCGAACTACCAGCGTCAATCTGTTGATCGAGGGAGCGCGGCAGAGCATTGGGGGTCAATTCATTCTCATCAGTCCCGGCACCAAATCTGACATCAAAAGAGCGCCAGATGTCCATCCTATCGAGGTCCCTGAACCAGAAAGGGGTCAGACGCGTCTTGCCTTTGCGCCGGCATGACGGCAGATCAGAGTCATCCCCAACGAACGGCCAGCTGCAGCGATATCCGCTGCGGTAGTTCTTGACTAAACCTACGGCTTCACATGCCAGTGCTTCGAGGCAGCAACGAGCAACGGCAAGAGACAGAGTTTGGTGTCGCGTTGTGTCACTGCGGAATGCCAGAATGATCTGTCCGACTCAACACAGACAGCAAGTCAGAGTGGTTGGTCTGCCTCTTCTCTCTTGCACCACAGCATACTTGCGAGGCTTGATTTCAACAAGCGCGTACAAAAACTAGAATGCTAGCTCACCGACAGCGGCAGCCGTCTGAGGACGGTTGGATTTCACCGGGTTTGTGTAACGATATCTGTGCTTCGCCAGTCTCCGCGGGCTGTAATCTTGCGATTACCCTTCCAACCGTGCCGCATGTGTGCGCAAATAATGGTGCGGTGACGGGCCTCATCGGTTGTGGAAGAAACATAGCCAAGATCTGCGCTGGTCTTCCGTCCCGATCTCGAGGATTGACGCATCAAGTTCATGATTCCTCATGCACGCTGCCTTTTGTTGGGAACCGGCGATACACCAGCAGCTTAAACGGACAGATACAGCGGTATGTGTCTCGCCATGGCGGCTGAGTAGACTGTAGGCACGGACAAGCCAACTCATTATCAGCAGCAGCGACCCTGTTAATAGAAAAGAGTTTCTCAGTTAGGAGGAAGGAAAACGTCTTCTTTGATTGTCAAATGTACGAGTATCAATATGCGCTGAACTGTACGGACCTATCCTCGATTGATGATGCCGTCATCCCAGATATCATGCCAACACAACTTCAACCGGCATTGGGGCAGCAGCACGAGCGATATGGGCAATGGTCTGTCCGAAAATGGCACAATCACACTTCCCCGTGAACAACGCTGCGATCGCCGGCCAAGCAAGACGAGAAACTGCGGTTGTGTCCCACGGTGTGTCAGGGGAAGGTACGGGATGCTTCATCTTACAGACTGACCACTCGCGGCTGACCACATTCAGCTGTCCTTGCAAAGGCCCCAGAGGCCCAGGAGCGTGTCCCAGAAGCTGTGTGTGTCCCTGCAACTGAAGCAAAACGAGTACTTGTGACCTGAAGCATCATAAGAGAGTGGCAAAGGAGATATCTTCATGGTTATTGAAGGAGGCAAGGGGGTATTCATCGCGGTGCAATAGGGCAGCCTGTCAAGAACCAGATACTGTTCTTAGACATGAGGAGAGATGAACTTGCTCCTTTCGAGCCTGGCGGGGCTGTCCTGATAACACCCCTTGATGAGAAGAACGTCGAACAAGTTGGAATACTCCGAGTCTGGGCTCGCTACAGCGGGATACTGTAAAACCCCCACTGCGGTGGCACTGCACTGATATAGAGCCTAAAATGGAATAGTGTAGATCTGGTCTTGGCATGGATTCCCCCTGCAGCGGCGTCTCACGTGACCGTAGATTTCTTTTGGTTGTGGGCGGCGTCGCTTGATCCCTTCACCACTGCAAGTCGCCGACAAAGCACAACCACAGACCCTTTGTACACACAACAACAACTTGAACCACTTCAAACGCTTGTCAAGGAAGAGGATTATACTCTCTACCTTTCACGCCCACCTTACATACGTGCTTACGTTCTTCTCGAGGTCTTTACAGAGATCCACCACCCTATTACCTTCTCAGCAAGGCTCTCTCATCCACACATTTGCGCACACAAACACGAGGAGACCACGACCGCCACAAACAACCAAACTTGGTCCCGCGCTCATACAAGTTTACGCACCCATCCTCTGTCTCTTCAGAAGCACTCCAGTGCTGCCTGCGTTTGAACACTTTCTCCATTCCTGACGGGAATAAATCCACCTGAACCAGCTGGACTCGACCCTATCCCACCAGCCCATATCTTGCGGCTAGCGACAAAAACACCCCTCCTATCCTCCTACCTACTCTACTGCACAACAACTTTGGATTCTCCTCAAGATGACGGATTCGTTGGCAAATCAGCTGAACAAGACCTCATTAAACGATGGCGCAGAAGACCCCAACTGGAAAGACTCTCTTAATCTGCCTGCCAAAGACAGCAGACAGCAGACAGAAGATGTCACAGCCACCAAAGGTCTCGAATTTGAAGACTTCTATATCAAGCGGGAGTTGATGATGGGCATTTTTGAGGCCGGTTTCGAGAAACCTTCCCCCATTCAAGAAGAGACCATTCCTGTCGCCCTTACCGGTCGCGATATCCTTGCGCGAGCGAAAAACGGTACTGGCAAGACCGCTGCCTTTGTCATTCCTACGCTCGAACGAATCAACCCGAAGAATCCCAAAACGCAGGCTCTCATCCTTGTGCCTACTCGAGAATTGGCCCTCCAAACGTCGCAGGTTTGCAAGACGCTTGGAAAACATTTGGGTATCAATGTCATGGTGACTACTGGTGGCACCGGCTTGAAAGACGACATCATTAGATTGGGCGAACCTGTGCATATCATCGTGGGAACTCCAGGCAGAATCTTGGATCTTGCAAGCAAAGGCGTTGCCGATCTGTCTGAATGCCCGATATTTGTCATGGACGAAGCAGACAAACTCCTGTCCCCCGAATTCACCGTTGTTATTGAGCAGTTGCTCTCATTCCTTCCCAAGGATCGTCAGGTCATGCTGTTCAGCGCCACATTTCCGATGATTGTCAAGTCTTTCAAGGACAAACATATGCGCAACCCCTACGAGATCAACCTGATGGACGAGCTTACCCTCCGCGGTATCACACAATACTATGCTTTCGTTGAGGAGAAGCAGAAGGTTCACTGTCTCAACACCCTCTTCTCCAAACTCCAGATCAACCAGTCCATCATTTTCTGCAACTCGACAAACCGAGTTGAGCTTCTTGCAAAGAAGATTACAGAGCTCGGCTATTCCTGCTTCTACTCTCACGCAAAGATGCTCCAACAGAACCGAAACAAGGTTTTCCACGACTTCCGCGCTGGAGTCTGCCGAAACCTTGTTTGTTCTGATCTCCTCACCCGTGGTATCGATATCCAAGCCGTCAACGTGGTTATCAACTTCGATTTCCCAAAGAACGCTGAAACGTATCTCCATCGTATCGGTCGTTCGGGCCGATTCGGTCACCTTGGTCTTGCGATCAACCTGATCAACTGGGACGATCGGTTCAATCTCTACAAGATTGAACAAGAGCTAGGGACTGAAATTCAGCCAATCCCGCCTTCTATCGACAAGAGCTTGTACGTGTACGAAAACCCTGAAAGCATTCCTCGGCCCATGCCGCCTCCACAACCTGCGAAAGCCCTTCCTTCTAACGCGCAATACAATGCCAATTCCAACGGTCAACCCCAGTTCCGTCGACAACAGAATCAATCCAATGGTTATGGGCAAGACTACAACAACCAGGGACGCGGAGGATATCGGGGCCGAGGTCGTGGTCAAGGTCCCCGCGGGCGTGGGGGTTATTCCCAGCAGACGGCCGCACCAGTTGGTCAGACCGCTCAGTAAATCTGGGGTGATTCTGAGCTGGAGGTTTGATCTGACATTTTGGTGCACTGGCGTTTTCTTTCCATGGCTTTTTTGCAACGGCGTTCTGTCTTTTTCACATGCTTACGAAGGTCCACGACATGCGACATGCGCAAGCTCGGAGTTCAATCATGGTTAATATGATTTCACATGCTATGCGATCTGTACAACAGTCTCGTGCAGTATCTCTTTGCTCTTTGGAATGTCACCGTTCTGGATGGACGGAGCATGAGCAGTGGTCTCGTTTTCCGTTGACTGAGCCTGGTTTGCAGTCATTCAGAGAGGACTATGACGATGTTTTGTCTTCGAAAGAATTTTGGGGGGTCGGGGCATGTTTGCACAACCGGCGCCAGGTGCGAACATTGGACCGCAGACCGCTACAGGGGTTGTAGATCTGCACGGCGTTCAGTGGGAATTTTCTGTTTTTCATCCAGAGACTTTCCATGACTATGCGACCTGGTTTACCAGCTTGCCGGACCCAGCAGAGGCTACTGATATTGTTTTTCAACTCGACTCTCCACATTCTTACTCCAGACTCATGCGAACCCACGATACTCCCATCTACTCTGATACCGATCGGAGCTTTGATACTCACAACTACACCCGCTACACACGCAGTACTTCGGCCAATGCTTGCTCCCACATCCGACACATATTGACCGCCTTTTTTCGATCCCATGACTACCAACTGCCCCTACTTGTTGAGACATCAACCGTGGATGTCTCGGCGCTCATCACCTTACTCTCAGCCCTGACCCAATTGGATGTTCCCAACGAACTTTTCGCTGGGCCTGACATCGACAAAAACAAATCTCAATCTTTGTTGTCCCATCCTCCGTCTTCAGAACTAAGATAAGACGAGGATCCTTTTTATCCATGGACACAAAGAGGACCCGGCCCCGCCGGCACCACCTACAAAAACTCAAAAACCTTACAAAAAAAGAATAGGAGGAAACATTACAGCCCCCGAAACCTAACGCTGCCGAAACGCTGCCCCAGCTAGCCCTTGGAAGTCGCCAGCGTTCCCGCGCTTCCTGGAGTCACAACGCAGCAAAGCAAGCATGTCGGCTTACCCATTGTACGTGTACAGAAAACAGTCACAACCCAAATTTGCGGGTTACTTGTAACCCGGAGAGCCGAGAACTACGATCACCCAAGTCCAGGATAAGTCCCACTGATTTGGGACACTGCGGGCTAGACAAAGATGCTCTTTATTGCCAAAAGACAAGATTAGCTTGCCAGTGACCGATGCGATGATCTATCTCGAGATGGGCAACGACTCACTACTGACTTCATACCTATCATGGCATCGTACCCAAATTGGAACTCTGTCAGAAGGAGTTGGTACCTCGAGAATAAGGTAGCTAGCTAGCTAGATCTAGGTCTTGTTGAGAATTAATAGAGCCATACTTTCCTCTGAATTCTTTATTGTTTCGTATATTTTTCTTGATGATTCTCATTTCGATGATCTCGGAGCGCGTGTACCTGCGTGTACCTGCAGTGGGTGAGTGGTATGCGACCGGCCAACAATCGAACCCACGTCCGTTTTGTGAGAGGTAAGTTGTGGGATTCAGTATTCACGCTTACAGTCCCGATCATGTTTGTATTATCAATAACAAAACCACAGATCCAAATCGAACAGTCATCATCGACGGATTGTCACTGAATAAATCTGATCTGACCTGTTCTGCTCTGTTCTACATCCCCGTCCCTGGATTCCACATCCAGCTCCAGACCAAAGTCCAAAACTTCGAACAAGCAAAATTCAATAAGGGAAACTGAATATGTTCTTTCCAGTTTCAATGCCCATAAGCCAACAATTTCTGCCCAGCACCACCGCCACCACTTCCACCAAATTTATGGCTCGGTTTAGTGTAGGAGCAGAAGCGGTCTTTAATGGAGACGACCTCGTAGATACCCTCGTCGCTAGCGCGGATGGTCTTGCTGAATTCATTTGAGGTGTCGTGACGGGTCTCGAGGATCCGAGGTGGTCCACGGCCCTTTTTGGTGGTTTCGGAACGCGTGTATCTATAACAAAATGTTAGCCAAAGGCAGTCCCAAGCAAAACAGTCTGATGCAAGGGTGGCTGAAAAAAAGGTATAACGGGAATTCAAACTTACGTAAACTCAAACGGCGGCGTGCCGGTAAACGTGAAAGAGATATCAACCTCGCCGCCTTCGTGGATGTCACTGACGAGAGTTTTGCCACGGCCCATTTCGACGGTCGGGTACGGGTGGATGGTTTTCTTGATCTCCTTTCTGGCGCGACATTTGCCGTTGCCCATTGCGCTGTCGCTGACGCCGGTGACCACGAATTCGCCAGGCGACTCGGCTAGTCGTCGGAACTCGCTGCCTGTAACGCGTGCTTTGCGCTCGCGGTTTTGGAATGTGTAGTATACGTCGAAAGGGGCTTGGCCACTCAGGGAGAACGACACATGTTCGCCGACGCAATAGTCCTCCTGGGCTTCGAGCGGAATGATGGTCGGGGGCGAGGAGACGTAGACCCGCACTGATGAAGGGTCGGATTCCAGAATGCTCTCGCAGCCTCGACCGTCCTTGACGGACCGGATTGAGATGCTGTGTGTACCTAGATCGAGCGAGCTACGTGACAGTGGCCACGAGTATGTTGTAGAGTCAAGGTCCTTGTGACGGAAGATCTCCGGCCGTGCTGAAACGCCGTGGTGCACAACGGCAATCTCCACGCTGAATGGCGGAGTGCCGGTAAAGGTGATGGGAATGTTTTCTGTCCCTTCCTCGACGCTGGAGGTAAAACTCGGGTCATCCTTGCAATAGCCATATGTTTTCCCTGCTTGCGCGAATCGGGCCGATGGCAATGCGTATACCTGTTGCTTGACAACCATGGGGGTGAATCGATTTCTGTCATGAGCGTAACGGTCGTCGGCAAGCTCGGTAAACACATAGGTGTATTCGCCGGCTTTGGATGTGTCCAGGTTGATGAGGGCATTCGATCCGGCAAAACTGGCTGGTTTGTTGCTAATGGCCGATGGCCCTTTGACGGGGTCGAACTTTTGCTGGTATTTCAAGTGGAATGGCGGAGTGCCGCTCAGACCGAGCGCAAGCGCCGATTCATCGCCTTGACAGACAGCAGGTTTGCGCAGTTCATTACTGCTCACTGTTTCCACTGTGGCATCCTTCACAGAGAGTGTTGGTCGAGGAATCCAGCTGACCTGAAACTTGTCCGCTTTCGAATCGACCAGACCAGGACAAACGTCATGCACATTGAGGATCTGGTATGTTCCAGGTCGGTCAACGACGAAAACAGAGTTGGCATCGCGGAAACTGTGCGTGACTGGCCCAGATCCGTCATCCAAATTCTGTAACGAGACCGTCCATGGCGGACTTCCCTTGAGTCGCAGCGGTAGTTTGATGGATTTACCATCCAACGCCAAGATGGAGCGCTTTCCTTCAATGTCACCAAAAGCAGCCTGTGGCTGTTCGGGTCGCACCTCGACGTGCCGTTCCTCTTTCAGTGTGGTACGACAACGCGTGTTATCCTGGACGCCCGTCAGAATGACAGAATATGTACCTCCCTCGGTCAATTTGGGAAGTTCGATATCCACGCTGTCGGTATCCGAGTGAAGGCTGTGCTTCTTCCTTTTTCCGTTATGGATCACTTCGTAGTCCAAATCCCAGGGTGCTTGACCTAGAAGTCTGACTGGGAGCGAGGCGGTCTGGCCAAGACACGTGTGAATGGCACGATTGTCAGAAACAAACATTGCCGATGCTGGTGGCCTGATATCTTGTTTCAGTACAAGGTTCTGGTCTTTGAGGGAGATAGGCTCGTAGACAGCATCTTCGACCTCTAGGAAGTTGTAGGTATAAGAGCCCGCTGATTTTTCGCGTAGTTCAATCTGTCCTCGCATGCCACTAAACTCTTGGACTTTCGGATGCGCTTTTCCCTTGTGCGTGACAGTATACCTGACTCTAAAAGGCGGTGTTCCGGTAAAGTCCAAGTTGACATACATGCCAATGGGGTTGCCCGCACATTTGTCAAAGATATCCTCGGTCTCCATCGTAAGACTGGGCTGGGGAGGGTTGTACAATTGGCAGGTTGACGGCTCCAGAACCTCGCCGTGGCAAAACTGGCTGTCAATTGACTCGAGGGTATATCGTCCTGCTTTGCTGATTTGGGGCACTGACCGCTGGCTCGTCATTTCATGGACATACTCTTCGGCCTCGGAAACTTCTGACTCGGTTTCGGTTTCGGGGGCGAAACTGTATTTGAGCTTCAACGGCCAGTCAGAAGGATGTAGTTTGTCGGCAGGCCGTATGCGAACAGGCAAATTCAATGAGTGGTCCTTAGGCACCGCAATCATATGGTCTGAATTGCAGCCGACCAGATTGACTTGAGGTCGATTATGGACCGTGAGACTCTGGATTTGATGAGAATGCGGACCTTTAGCATGGGGCGTGTGGTAGACGACGCGGTTGCCCAAACCGTCTTCCACTTCCTCAACCACGTAGGAATGGCTGCCATTCTGGTGGAGTGCCTCATTGATCTCAAAGGACTCAACCATTGATTTTGTCCAACCCATCTGAGGTCTCTTAAGATCTACAACAGCTTGAGAAGCCTCTTCTGGAGTGACATAATCCTGGTCGGCACGCGGCTGAACATTCTGGACAATTGAACTGAATTGGTGGCCATTAACAGTCTTGCTGTACTTCACCTTGAAGGGAGGGACACCAACGACCTGCAATGACACATTGCTCAAGTCTCCCGTGCATCTGTCCACAGCGCCAGTCGATATTGAAGCCTTGGGGCATTGCACAACGGCCACGTCGAAACTTCGTTTTCGGACTTCCAACTTTGTGGTATCAATAACTCTGGTCAACTGATAGAGCCCTTTCTTGGAAACAGGGTAGTACAATAATCGAGGCAAATTTGCATCAGAGCTCGAGAAGCCTTCATTGGCCTTTTTCAGCATCTGTTTTGCTTGCTTACTACCAATCACAATTGACTCGACTTCGTCCGTGTCGAGGTCGTATCGTTGCAGCTCGATGGAGATAGGAATGGTTTGGTTGATTCGGATGGGTAGTTCAACTGAAGGGTTCGATGCATCGAGACAGAAGGCTTGCTTTTCGGGGTTGAGAATGGCAGATCCTTCTGGTAGAATGTGAATGATCTGTTTCCCCAAGATAATGGAAGAATTGTGTAGGATATCGGCAGGTTTCACGCGGTGTTCTGAGATGGACAATTCTCGATCGTACGCCAGCTTGACAATCGCTCCCAGCCAAGACAACAGTGGAATAGGAATCTTGTACATCAAGAAGGCATTGGCAATGGCGTGCAAGAGCCACAACGTGAATGTCGTGGCAAACGACCATTGGAGCCATGGTATTCGGAAAGTAGGTAATGCCACAAAAAACGCTGCGTCTATTCCCACCCATTTCAGAAACAGCCACGTCGAGTCGAGATCATTCTCGACGTTGCATGAGTTGTATAGCCTCCAGGCCGTCAATCCGACATAGAAAGCAAAGACATAGAACCTCTGGGACGGTACATCCACGATGTCGGTAGAAATCAGTGGCGTGCTGTTGTCCCCCGACGCAGCATCGGCGGGAACTCGTACAGGTCGTGTTATCGGAGAGGGTTTGTGGGATGGAGGACTCTGAGGTGACCCAAAAGCAGGAGGACCATTGTTGTTGAACGTCCGCAGTCGAGGTTCGGTTCTTGGGGTGGTAGGGAAGGCCGACCGCAGTCGCGGGGTTTCATTCATTGCACCATGCGGTTGGAAGCTTGGTTTGGTCAAGCAAACGATTCCCTTGTCCAAGACAAATTGTGTTTCCTCAAATGTTACCCCGAGTCTTCAATGGAGGTTGCTTCGGTGTAAAGGTTGGAGAGGGAGAGGTTCGAGGCCGGTATTAGTGGTCGATATTACTCGGATAGGGGGCGGAGGCTGGTGGTATATGGCCTACAAGGCTCAAAAACATGGATTAGAGCAGTCCAACTGTTCTAGACAGCGGTGGTCGACGTGTCTTGTGCACGCGTCTGGCAACATTCGCAGGACGTGAATTGAATGTGACGAGGCTGCGACTTGCGCTTCTTGGCGGCGATGACGTCCATTCACAGCCTCGCACGTGACCAGCTCTTTACATCAAGGTCAATCGTTCTTTTCGATTGTTGTCTACGGACTCATACGTGGTTGGAGACACACCTTGTAAGGACAGGTGCCCAGGTTGGGCATTTGGACTGTGATGTTCGACTTTTCAGTATCGCTACAGCTGTGATTTACCGTGAACAACAGGGGAAATAATCGCGCTAAATGGCGTCTGCTGTGTGCCTTCCCCTCTGTCCAATCGACAACAATCAACTTCTACAGCTTTGCTTTCCTATGATTGATGCGACAATGAGACTGAGTGCCTCTGGGGCGCCTTGATTCTTTCACTCTTGCTAGTCCTCTTCTATATGTTGCGTCTGGAGTAAAGGCCTTGTCTTTGTACGCGAACTGTTTGCTGCTCAGCCGATCTGCTTCCCTTGGAAAAGCACAATATGGTACAAACGAGATCGGCGGAGACGACTGTTGACGACGACAACGTTATAGCGCAGCCCGCCGCTGAGCCAGTTCCAGATACAGCTTCTACCCAAGCGACCTCAACTGTTGGTTCTTCCGCCGAAGATGTTACACCTATGAGCACAGACGATGCCGTCGCTGCAGGCGAACAAGCCGGTTCATGGAAAGGCTGGGCAATCCTCGAAAATGATCCGGTATTCCTTGCTACTTCTTGCCCCCTGTGGCTCTCATTCTCACTGCTACCAGGTTATTTTTACTACACTTTTGCGGGAGTGGGGTGTTCCAAACGTCCAAGTCCACGAGATTGTCCCTCTTGATAGCTTGTTTGATCACGCTCCAGAGAGCGTGTATGGTCTGATATTCCTGTCGCGTTGGACGCCCACAGACACTGTCAACAGCATCACCGAGCCACCACACGGTGTGTGGTTTGCTAACCAGGTATGGAATTGACGTAGCCTTCACGACCTCAGCTCATATAGACAGATCTCTGATTTTTCGTGCGCCACGGTTGCGCTTATGAACATCATTAACAACCGAATGGACCTCGACCTTGGACACAAGTTGAACGAGTTCCGAGCGCAAACTTTGAACATGACCCCAAAAGATCGTGGAATTGCCCTGGACCGGTTCGACCATGTTAGGGATGTCCACAATTCGTTTGCCACTGACATCGACAAGATGAACGTCGACTTGCGACTCAAGTATGATGCCATGGCGGCTGAAAAGAAGAAGAAGGCCGCCACGACCCGGCGGCCTCGCAAGAGACTTCGGGAGGATGAAGATCTTGAGGATGACGATGTTGGATTTCACTTTGTTGCGTATGTCCCAGCAGAGGGCGCCGTTTGGAAAATGGACGGCCTAGAAAGACTCCCTAGAGAGGTAGGGAGGCTTTCGGACGGAGACAGCTGGGTCTCGATGGTACTGCCTGAGCTCCAGGCTCAATGGGAATCAGCGGCGTCCGGTGCCTTGGAGTTTTCCCTGCTGGCATTGACGGCGATGACGGACTCGTCCAGCGTGGACAAGGACCGAGCCAAGATGGAGCGGGCGAGAGAAGACTGGGGGCCGTTGATTGCCCATCTGCTGCGCCTCCATGCAGAGAGGGGTGACCTGAGGGAAGCGCTAGAGTAGGGGAGCGCAGTTCAGGATAAACAACTTCCCCATGTCTTGGTACTGGCGAGGACGATTGTGCCGGCGTAGGCCATCGACTGCAGTTGCAGTGGTTTCGGATAGTGATGTAATATTGTGAAGCAGACTGGCAGGATAGTCCTCCGTGAAATCAGATGGAGTACCAGTCAATACTACAGGTAGTAGTAGTCCTAGTATGGCCGTGAATATCTCCCCGCGACGACGAGGCTGCACTGCAGGTATGGAATGTGGATTGTGATTGGGCGGCTGGATGCGACGTGTAAATGACGTCTCCGAGTTGGGCGACTTCAACTTCACTTCTGCGACGGCGCCTCAACTCGCTTCAGATCGCCTCACTTCAAACCCTCCAACTGTATGATTTCAACAAGTGGATGTCGTGGACCCCTGGAGACGATATTATCTCAGATACAAGTATCAAGAATTACTCTGTGTCTGATCAGCCCGTAGCCGGAGCCACGGCGCAATGGGCACTCACTTAGCAGAGCTACCCGATGAAGTGCTTCAGACCATCTTGCATTACCTCCCTCCAGTCTCAACAGTGGCCTTGCAGAAAACATGCCGTCGTTTTGCCAATGTTGCCAATGAGCCAGTTATCTGGAAGGCCTATTGTCAGCGGGAATTCCGGTGGTGGGACAGCGCGCATGACATCGAAGCCAGGTTCGAAGACGCCGCGACCACCGACTGGAAAGGCTTATATGCCCACCGCCATCTCGCCGCTGCTGCCACTCGGCACGGCATCAACAAGATCATCACCGAGGAGGTGGGCCGTCTGGACGTTCTCAAAGAAATCCTCGACGAAGGCTATGATGCAAAGGATACCTTGTTCGACATGTTTTGGAATGCTTCTTCCTCCGAGAACCACCTAGCACAGAAGTGAGTTTTTTCACCGTTCCAACTGACCAGTCTGTACTTTAGTCTAACATTTTTCGTCCAAGGTATTGGTGTCACGCAACGCTGGGCTGTCTGCATCGACTAGTCGCAGCAGAGGAATGGGCCCAAATGGACGCTGAGCCAGATCCAAGAAACGACCAATACGAAAGACCGCTGGCTGCCCTGGACATGTTCATCATAGACGAGCGCGCCGAAGGAGACATTGACGATGTAAGCAATATTTAACGTTTTCACACTGACTCCTCTGTTCCATGCTGACCGACCAGGTGATTGCACGACTAGACTCGTACGCGGCATCAGTGCACGCCGCACACCCAGACATTGACGACATGACACCACGACAGAAAGCCATGGCTGTCGCAGCCCATTTGCTGGAGAAGAAATGGGTGGGCATCCACGACGATCGCGACTACCATAGTTTGGACCACATGTGGCTCGGGGTGGCGCTGTTCAGCTCGAACCGCAACTCGGTGCCTCTGATATCAGCAGTCATCTACTGCTACGTGGCACGACAGTTCGGACTGCACGCGGCGCCATGCAGCTATCCATTCCACGTGCATGCCCTGGTCCATCCGCCAGACGGGATCGACCTGGATGGCAACCCACTACCGGAAGGATACCAGTCAGGGGACGACAACGACTTCCACACCATAGGGACGGACGACTATCCTTTGACAAATCTATACATGGACCCGTTCCGCAGCGCAGAACCCGTGCCACTCGAGAGACTCCAAACACAACTGCAATTCATCAGTCCGCATTCAACAAGCGACCAGGTAGCATCATACCTATCGGCAGCGCCGCCACGCAGCCTCCTCACCCGCACAGCACACAACATCCTAGCCGCGCCGTCTCACTACGCAGGAGCCCCACTGCATCCGATCGACCGACACCGCGCTACCTACGCGGCACTGTTATCTCTAGTAATGGTGCCAGCAACGCACATGAGCGCGACACACATACGCCAACATCTGTCGGTGCTAACGTCCCATTTCCTCGAGTATTTCGACCTTGACGTCCATCTTTTCGAGACATACATATTGCCTCGTGCATCTGTGCTTCCCGACGCTCGCGCGTACCGGAACCTGCTGTATCAGCTGAAAGATTCTGACCACGAATCCCGCCCGGCAAAGTACCGTTCCGACCCCCGTAACTTCGTGGTCAGGTACTGCGTAGGCCAGATCTTTCGGCACCGTCGTCGCGGCTATCTCGCCGTCATTTATGGGTGGGATCCCTACTGTCGCATGCAGGAGCAATGGATCCATATGAACCAAGTCGATCGATTGCCCAATGGCCGTCATCAACCATTTTACAATGTTCTGGTTGAAGATGAGTCGACTCGCTACGTCGCCGAGGAGAATATTGTCCTATTGCAACGTCATGAGATTCAAGAGGACAATATTATCGATGCGTTTCCCATCGAGATCGGAAAGTGGTTCAAGCGATTTGATGCCCAGTCTGGCATGTTTGTCAGTAATGTCCGTGACGAGTATCCCGAGGATTAGTATTTTGTTTGGGAACGCGAATGGCAGAGTCTGCGGAGCTGGACTTTTACTTTTTCTCATTGAGTTACGCAATGCGCAGCTGGGGAAGGGGGAGGAAGGGCGGCGGGGAAATGGGAAGAAGGGGCCAGTTTGCTTTTGTCTTTTGCAAGTGTGCAGCACGCTGGTATTATTGTACCGGCGTCGGCGTAATGGTGGGGGGAGAAGGGATGGTCGTGGGCACGATACAGGATAAATGGCTATTGTGGATGGTATCGGATCGGGACAGATGGGCTCAAGGTAAATGGACGGATGGATGGATAAAAGGTTACCTGGTACAGCACTCTTACGACGACATGACATGACCAATAATGTGTCTCGGGTTTACGTTCACGTTCACATTCATCTTCACGCGCAACCTCGAACGTGGGTAGCTATGACGGTTGCAACGCGTTACCAGGAGTTCAAGTTTCTCTCTTTATTTTTTTTTCTTTTGTTCAGCTTGTCTTGTCACTGTGTCAGTCAGATAGAAACGGGAATGGAAATGAAAATCGAAAAGTGATATAATTTATATGAGGTAGATAGTAGCATAATGTAGGTCACTAGGAGCTGAATGTAGTGTAGTGTAAGGTGGTGGTAGTGTAGTGGTAGGAGTCAGTCTTCGCAGTCTTGACTCTTTGGCTGTGAGCTAGGGATGGTAGAAGTACGGGCAGACGATGTGGTAGAGGTATGGTCGGGTCTCGTTCATCGTTGGTGTAGTTGTTGTCATCGTGGTCGTGGTCGGATTTCAGGGCGAGGCAAGAGTCTTCCATGTTCAGCGAGGACTGACTCATGACCTGCCGATTCAATTCGGTCAACCAGTAGGTATCCAAGCGGACCCCGTGTCTGCCTCCACGTATGGAGGGGTAGATGTGAATGCTTTTCAGCAAACTTTTCACCCGGATACCACAGGTATAGACGGAGTCCGTATTGTTCCTAGCCATGTCCAATATGGTTGTGTTTATGCCCAGCCGTCAAGTCCTCTCGGAGCTTGTGGAGCCAGCGCGACAATCGTGGTTGCACCAAGTTCAAGCTTGTTCTTCTTTCATGATATGGCGTCGCTCACATGGCCCACTGCATTTCAACCAGATGCATATGTTCTTTTCGTTCCTTCTTTGTATAGTGTTCAACCCCCCGTTGATGCCACGTTTAGTTCGACGGCCTGTCTTACGACTTCAACGTCGACAGGCCTGCAGTCCTTCTTCAACCCGACCCGGATCATAAATTCATCAAATTCTGCCGCATCGACGCCAAGACCCCTGAGATGCCCTTCCTCAATCTGGACCAGGACCGGCTTTCCAAAAGCTTCGTCTTGACAGGCATGCACCCATGCCCCGGACAAAAACGATACAACATCCTCCTCAAACTTGTCGAGGGGATACTTTTTCCCCAGCCGATCAAGTCGGCAATTGATCGACAGTACAGAAGCGTGCGCCGGCATCGTAAATTCCGACATCCACTTCAGCCGGATCTGCGTCCACTGGGCCACTTCTGTAGAAGGATCCGCATCCGCATCCGCATCCGAAGTCTCGCCGACGCAGAAGAGGTCATTGATGAATCCGTAGTTGGGACCCAGTTCTTCAACGGGGTCATCTGCGTCAGAACTAGGACCCAGCGAGGAGAAGTCACGCAGGTCAAGATATCCCCATGCAAAACATTCCTGTAGACGTGGCAGTGGATGATGATGGGCTGTACCGAGCCTGATCCTCAACGACTCAATGCTAGCCTGGAGCATGAATTGGCCGACGAGATCCATCCACTTCTCGTTCGTATTCTGGCCCAGCACGGCGGCGACTTGGGCGGATATCAGCATGAATCGCGGGATCAGGTCGAACAGCAAGGGGTGTGGTTGTCCTGCTGAAGGAGGCATGATGCTCCGCGAAAGGCGTGAAGGTGAGGGTGGTGCGTGAGATTCCGGATCCAACGCTGCTTGAACGCTGTCCCATGCTTCGTAGATCTGGGATTCGACGTCCCGAGCCACGTCCCATGGCAGATCGGCTTTTGCATCTGAGGATGCCGCCTGCTTCCCTTGTCGGCGAGCCTGTCGTTCTCGCGCGGTGAGCCATCGCCGGCGATGGGTGAGGTGCTGCGCCGTCTCTCTGCGCAAGCCCTCGCACATGCTATCCGCCAAGTAATGGCGGTCGTATAAGCACCTTCGACTGGCTACCAGTACTAGAAATTCAAGCACGTCGAGGTTGAATGCAAATTCCGGACCGGGGCGATGAGATGGATGAGTAGACTTGAAAAGACGGAAGAACGAGTCGAAGATGGACAGGACGCGCAGGGCATCTGTAATTGACTTGCGTATAGTTGCATTCCAGTTCACAGAAGGGGCAGGGCCAGTAGTCAGTGATAGGAGGTCGAAGTGTGTCCTGATGGCTTGGTGGAGGCTGTATTCGAGGATCATGTGGTCCACGTCGAACTGGAGCTCCGGGTTTGCGCAACGATTGTCTATCATTGTGAGTGAGTCCCGTTGGCTTGGGGTTGAGGCGTCCTCGTATATCGTTAACAGCGAATTGCTGCTACTGAGATATCATTGCAAGGTATAGTATGTCTCTGGTCAGACTGAAGTTCCGGTGTGGGACAAGGTCGGTGGTTTTACAGGCTTGGTCACGGCCCGACCACAGTCATTTATAAAATTGTTGATAAGCAAGAGGGGCACTGGCCATGACAGCGCATGGCGGTATAGAAGGACCAGGGTGACAGAGATTGTGGGATGACTTCAAGATACATGATGGTAGTCTAACTGTAGCAACGGAGGACGCGGTGGGAGGAAGAGGCAGAATGGGCCTCGAATGGCCTGGCCGGCGTCTCGGCAGTTGATTGGCCAGATCGCAACCTGCCTTCACCGACCATGAAACAGTCCGTTGCCTTCGCTTCAAGGAGACACACAAAGACAAATTGCAGGATGACTGTCGAGAACAGTGCTTGAAACAAGACCTGGTACAGCTGGAACAGTTTTCACGATGGTACATTTGGCCCTACACAGGCCAGGCCCACTACTACTACATTCAGCCCTCAATACTCCCACACACCGCCTGTGGCATCCATGCTACATACGCTCACAAACGCCTTCGCTATGCATGCATAAAAAGCTAGTCCATCATACGACGAAACACAAGCGAGATCTCGGCCTCAGAAAAACCAAAAGGCCGGATTCATCTCCTTTTCTTGCCCTTCCCTGCTTTGGCCCCTTTGATTTGCGCTACAGGGGCAGCATGATCTTTCTCCTTGATATGGTTGAATAGCTTTGTCTTGGAGGGAAACTCGGCTTTGCACACGGCGCAGGTGAACTCGGCGATGGGACGATCAGACTGTCCCGTGGCTTTTTGCGCCGCCTTCTTGGCCCTTTTGAGCTTCGCTTTGCCGACTTTAGGCTTCGATGCCTCTTCTGGATCGGATGTGGCGGGGGTATCTGCTAAACTGGTGTCTTCCAATCCGGCAGTGACTTGTTCAAGCTCTGCTGTCTCTCCGACCAGCCGCTGTTCAATATCGGAGCGCGGAGCGTAGTCATCGTCCGATATATCCTCAGACACTTCCCCGCTACCCCTCGCATTGATCGTACCATTTGTCGGTGGGTGCTGCTCAGCGTAGTCAGACCCATGATCGGAGAGATCCTCCACTTCATGAGCATCGTCCGCTCGATTCCCATTCTGGGTCTCGTCCGCTTCCTGCTCCTCTACCAAGGCGTCTTGAGGATCGGGTTCTGCATCTCGACTGTCCAGATTGAGCTCTGCACCTTCATGGCGCATTTCTTTCTGTAACTGCTTCAGTAACTTAAGATGCTTCTTGCCTTTTTCATGGGCTTTGAACTGCGCCTCGCTTTTGAACGTTTTATCGCATACCACACAATCGTATTCATGTTCTTCCACCTCGGACTCGCTGGTGAACCCCCCTTCATGCTCGTCTCTATCCCTCGATTTAGCCCACTCAGGAATCGCCTCTGTATCATATTCCTGCAGTTTCGCCTGTCGTGCTGCTCTCGAACGGGCTGCTTGTGCCGCCGTTGCTTCACGAAGCGCTCTCTGCCGCTCAGCCTCGGACTTTTGGTTGTTCTGGACTCGAGGGTCCCGCTTTCGCACGAAAGCAACTAGCGAACGGACCGCTTCGTTGAACTCCTGAATTGCGTCCTCCCGCAGCTTCTTGTTTTCTTTCTCCATCAATCGCCGGATCCGTCTATCCGGGGCGTCGGACAGCCTGTATTGATCCTTCCATGCATAGCTCTTCTTGGTCGCAAACCCACTCCAGGCTGCGTAGAACGGCCGTACCACATCCTCGTAATCATCGTTGTCCAGGCCAAATTCAGGGTAGTCCATCGGCTCTTGCGCTTCCCATTGGCACGCAATGTCTTCCTCTTGGGCGAGCTGTTTGAAGAAGTCGTTCAATCCGCCAAAGAACCCACTAGGGGCGTTGCTGTATTCCAGCCGGCCATTGAACTTCATCATCAACTTCAACACATCTTCCGTCGTAGTCATGCGAATATTGTAGGAAAACTCGTCGGTGCCGGGCCCGGCGGCCTGGTCCCCTCGGAGGAGAACATCTCGGTGCGAGTCATACCAGGCTCGTTCTTGGGGGTCGGAAAGGACTTCGTAGGCAGACTGGATTTCGGCGAAGAGCCTGGTGGCATGTTCCACATTGCCATAGTTGCGATCGGGATGTAACTCGAGTGCTTTGCGACGGTAGGCCTTTTTGATTTCGTCATCGCTGGCAGTTCGATCGACACCAAGAAGGTCATAGTAGTCTGATTTTGCTGGGACGTCTTCTTGGGCGGCGGCATTGTTCGTAGATTGCCCTTGACCCATTGTCGAGGAGAATTGCCAAGGGAGATTTGCTTGCTCAGCCAATGTCTGCCGGCGATTTCATGTCTACAAGCCTCAAAAGCCTATGCGATGACCAGGGAGGAATATGGGCCGCTTGATTCGAGGTTGTGGAAGTGAGAGCGCAGCCAGCAGTACTTTTGCTGTGTCCTTGCGCCCATTTCCATTTTCATGTGCAGCCTCGTGCTTGTGGCGGGCTCAGCCTTGCGGGAGTGACCACGTGACTCCATGCTGAGATTATGTCATATATCACGTGCGCGACCTGACACTTTGACGTGGGAAATTTCTGCCTTTTCTGATTCGCATCTTTGTTCACGATCTTTCGATCCTCGCCCCTCGTGGTCGCCGGTGGCAATTTCATTCGTGGCCCATGTTGCCGCTCAGGTGCAGATATAACTGGCGCACAGCCAGATCCAAGGTCTGGAATCGCTGCTCCAGGAATGGTTATAATGTCTGCAGCATCTTTACTTTGCCTCCACCGATTCAATCCACCGCCCCATGAGACAGTGCGGAGTCTGAGGCCACATCGCTCACGCATACCAAGCATATCATATGACTAAGGTCCGACCGCTCACACGACTCTCTCCCAACCCCATCCACCTTCTGGGTCTTTACATGCTCCACCATGAAGTTCGGCCAGGATTATGAAGCAGCTCTTTCTCGGGGCGAGTATCCTCCAGACTGGGTACAGTCTGCTATTTCGTACAAGAAGCTCAAGAAGTGCATCAAGCGAGTGCAGCGTGAACTTTTGAGTCTAGGCCTGGACAAGGATACGCTTGATGCACTCTGGCAGCATGTCGGCTCTGGCACTTCGGAGGCTGGACAGAAGCCTGGCGAAGTCTTATTACACTATTCGCTCGATGGAAACGAATACAGCTTTACGCCGAGACTCACGATTGTCATAGATCCCCGCGATGGCTCTCCCATGGATGCTTGGTTAAGTCCTGAAACACGCCGCAACTTATTGCGCCTTTCTCGGCATTCCAGAGCGAGTATATCATCCGCCAGCGGCCGACGAGAGTCTGCCGATGGACAGTCCAGAGCTCGACCACAAGGGCCCAACGAGCCCAATGGGACAGAACCAGAGGCAGACTCGGTGTCAGACGACACTAGTGCTCCAGATAATGATGTCGTCCAGCCGGATCAGCCTCAGACCATCGAAGTCCCTTTGACCTCAGATTCGGAGTTTTTCCAAATATTACGGCGGGAGCTGGCCGACCTCGACCACTTGCAGCAGGCTGAACAGACGCGGCTACAGGATGAAATCGTCAGTTTAGGAAACGAATTGCGGGTGATCAAATCTTCCAAATCGAAACGATCCAAAGAGGAAGTCGAGGCGTGGAGGAAGATATTGGAACTTTACAACGACGCCGAAGTTTTTTATTCATCTCACGAAGCGGATGCCGGCACGCGCGACGCAGCACATGCACAAAAACAATTCCAAGAGTTCAGCAAAGCTCTTTCCGCTCAACAGCGCGACATTCTCAAGCTGGGCAAGGGGGGTTCCATGGCTTTAGACCGCTTTCTCCGGATCAATGTGAAGCTTCTTCGGTTTATCAAGTTCCAGGAAATCAACCGGACCGCTCTCTACAAGATCATGAAGAAGTTTGACAAGCGGACTGCACTGCATGCTCGGTCACACGTGTCGGACACGTTGGTCAAGTCGCCCTTTATTGCGCAAGATCTAGCCAAAGCCACTTGCTTCACCATTTCCGAAGAGGTTTTGAAAGTTATCCCTCAACTCAACGATTACCTATGTCCAATATGCTTTAGCATTTCCTATAAGCCGATTCGACTTCGTTGCAAACATGTCTTTTGTGTTAGGTGTTTGGTTGTCATGCAAAGAGAAGAACAGAGTCATTGCCCTCTATGCCGGGAGGAGGTAGTTATGGAAGCTACGAGTGGTAAGTTCGATCCAACTCACCACATTTACTGATGGAACTTCTACTGACGTTGTCTTTATAGAAAACCTTGACCGGGAACTGCTGAAGTTTTTGAAAACGAACTTCAAAGGCGCTGTCAAGGAGAAGCAGCGAGAGAACGAGATCCAAGCGGGGATTGACCGCTGGGGCGCTCAGTACGAGAATTCGCAGAAATGCATCGTCATGTAAACTAGGTTTGTTTTTGGATTTCTTTCACGACTGAATGACACAACTACCTGCCGTTTTTGAAGTCTGGACTACACCATGTGATATCGAATGCATCTGTAGCATCATCCTTTTGACTTTCTAGCATTCAAGCTGCTTCATCTTTCAAATGCTTCGTGTCCTGTCTCAGTATTGAGCTCAATTTCAATTTTAACTCCTTGATTTCCAAGGGGTCGACTTTTGCTCTCCACGTCGATTTTCCCTTGTTGACCCAGAACCGTAGCGTTCAGATCATTCACCGTCATAATGATCGATGTTCAGGTCAACCTCTAAGTCGTTGACACTGTCTTCTCTTCTTCGGCAACAACAACCTTCCCCCGTCCTGCCTCCTCACCCTCCCCCTTATCTTCCTCGGCCTTCTTCTTCTCTCCCACGGCCTTCTCCTTGCCTTCCTCGGCCTTCTCCTTGTCTCCCTCAGCCTTCTCCTTGCCTTCGCCGGCGCTTGTCTCTGCTGACGTCTCCATAATCCGCCTACGCTTGGGCTGCGGCGAGCTTTCAGGTTTGGCCCGCACCTTCCTCTCCGGGAACCACTCGTTGGTGCTTGGTGCTCGAGTGATGCCTTTGAACTCAGTCACGATATTTTCTTGATCGTGGGGATTGACCCGCCACTTGAAATCAGCAGGATCAGTCGGCGTGTTAGGCCTGTAAGTGCGGAAGCGGCGATTGTGGTAGGCATCTATTCCACGCTGGAGTTTGAACTCGACTTCTTCCAACACACATTCATCGGTGCGCAGATGGATCTCGATCTTGAGATCACTGTCCCTCAAATTTCGCCTGTACCAACGGTTGAAAAGCAAACCGCGGCCCCATCTGACTTTCACCCACTTTGTTGTACGTAATTCTGGCAGTTGTTTTGACGTTTCTTGGAGCAGAAAGACTGGAGCACAGAAGTCGATGCCCATGATCTGCTGGCAGGGTACCAAAGGTAATTTGTCTCTGACCGCGTCGAAGATCTTTTCCATGATATTACAGTGTCGGGCTGAGATGAAGACCGAATCGGTAGCGAACTTGTTTTCGAGAATCATGCGGACTTCAAAGTTGGGAAGTGATCTCTGGCAGTCCCTCTCAAACTTTCTCTTCATGGCCTCGTTGGCAGCTAGTTTCTTCTTGTGGAGGTCGTTGAGAGACATGTTGTGCGAATGGAGGAGTTGGTTCAGTGTTTCTGTAGGTTAAGCGTGTTGGTCAGATGGGCGGTCGAGAAAGCAAATGATTTGGTTGGAAAGCGAGCTGGACAATGGTGAAGTTGGTACGTCAGGAAAGGGATGATCAAGTCTTCCAGATGGATGTTTGAGATGATCAAGTTGTCAAGGTGGATGTCTGAGAGCACTGGAAGATGAAGACAATGGAAATAATGGCGATGACCACTCAACTCAGTAAGTGCCCTCGCTCGTGGCAGAAATCTGATTCTACTTCACTTGTACCTCACTTGTACCTCACCCTGAGCTGTGTCTTAGCGGTGCTGACCCCTGTGGGTCCAGGCGTCACTTCACTGCAGCCGCTTTTATTCATGGTTTATATGTTCAACCCCCAGAAATTCTGTCACCAATTGATCCCATGGTCCAACTGGGAGGCGTTCGGATACGCCAGTACCAGGACCGGCTGCGCCAATCTGTGCCAGTCCGGAAGACCAGCATCTAGACAAAACACATTGCCAGGGCTTCGGCTCTACTCTGCATGGGATTGTCTAGGCGCTGCCTTCCGGATGAGCACGCTCCATAGATTGGCGTAGACCGACCTGTCTACTGTAGTATCCAGAATTCCGGAAGACCCTCAAGAAGTCCGGTGCCGGACACCGACGAACGAGCGGTGCCCACTCTGCCCGGCACTTGGGGAATAATCTTTTTGTCGGTTTGGACAAAAAGGTCAGGGGTTCAAATGAGGCCAGCGGCGGATACTTTTTGTTTTGTTTTTGCTTCTTTTGGCATCGAGGCTTCTGATCACTGCACGGATGGCGCCTCACGTGCAATGGACTCGCTTCACGTGTCATGTCTACAGGTGAGTTTGCCTCAGCCTCGTCTAGAAGGTAAGTAGGTAAGTCCCTAGTACTGCCAGTGCTGGCCAAGTACGAGCGGTTGAAGGGCAGCCCCCTTTTATTGTCTGAGTTGATGGTCATCATTGACATGCTACCTGATCCAGCTGCTTTGGTATCTCACTTCTTCAAAGCAGTTACACTCGACCCATTCGGCTCTCCAGTCTTCAACTCCACACCGGCCCTCTTCTCCCAATTCTTCAAAAGTTCCGTATGATCCGCGGCCGGCTCGCCCAACATATCCATAGCGTCCCTGAAATATTTGAGGATCAAATCCGGCATGTCGGTGTCGAAGCCGATCTTCTCAAACAGTTCCTTGGAAATACCCACATCCTTGATCAACAGCGCCAACTGAAAGCCCGACGCATACTTCCGCGGCAAGGCGTCAGTGGCATAGCTGTCGGTGGTGGAAAAGTTGCGGCCTGTGCCCACATTGAGCACGTCGATCATTTGTATTGGGTCTAAGCCGAACTTTTGGCCCGTTATAAGAGCGTCGGAAAGCGCCACGATCGACGCCGCGCTGATGTAGTTGTTCAGCGTCTTCATGGCGTGTCCGGACCCCAGCTTGCCCATGTGGAACACGTATTTGGCCATCGCCTGCAGGACCGGAAGGACTCTGGCCATGGCGTCTGAAGAGTTTGAGCCGACCATTAATGTCGCGTTGCCGGTGTCGGTGTCGTGCAGGTGGGCTTGAGTTACGGGCGAGTCGATCAGTACGAAGCCCAATGAGGCCAGGTCTTCGCCGAGCCGCTGCGTGTCGAATGGGGATGAGGATGATGTGTCGACTATGATTGCGCCTGGTGGTCAAATGAATGGGCGTCAGTCGATTGCTGAAGCCCAGGCCTGGATGCTGTTGAGGGAGAACGATGTTGTTTGATTTGAGTGCTCCAGGGACCAAACTCGCTTGGATCTCGGCTGCAAGAAGACCGCTTACCTGGCTTCAATCCCTTGGCAATTCCATTCTCACCCAATACCACCTCTCTGACCACCTTCCCTTGAGGCAACATGGTTACGACGACATCGCAATCTTCGAAACCATAAGGGCCAGCTTCGGCAACCACCGTATTGGGATTATCCTGTGCGAATTTCTGCTCCCGAGCAGGGTCGGCGTCTCTCACAACCAGATGGAAACCCGCTCTCGGCAGGTTCGACGCCATAGACGCGCCAGCCTTGCCCAGGCCGATATAGCCCACTGTCTTGACAGACATTTTGCCTTTGGTATGATCGGTGAAGAAAGATACAAGCCTCAGCTGACAGAGGTAGGATATTAGACTTTGGCGCAAATGCGGCGAGGCTTGAGCGAAACCGTGTTAACTCACCGCTAGAAGGCGAAACAGCAAACCGCTGGATTCTAGGTACACACGTCTGTGTTTACGACACTTCAAATAAACCTACAGCCATTTACTTAACTTTTCGTCCCCTGGTCATCTCGGGATACGGCACGAGCGACAAGAGGCCCATAGAGTCCAACTCGGCTCCAGGAAAGACCAAACATGGGGTATAGCCTACCTACCTAGTCACTCACGTCTGATTTACTGAGGTGTCTTTACTTCAAGAACCACTGCGCATCAACGATCTCCCACAGTTGATCCCATTACGGAAAGGGGAAATGAGGGGTAGCAAGACACAAAGGAATAAACACCGATGAACACCGGCTGTTGTTGCAAACGGTCCTACTACTACCGAAGCACTTCAGCGGGTACAACAGCATCAATCATGTGCTTGACTTGACCTGGGCCTAAACTTCGGCAGCTGTGATCACCGGTAGGCCCCGCGAAAGGAACCAGTTCCACGACCCCTCCAACACCAACTCACACAGATCAGATAGGAGATGTCCCAGCATCCTAAGCAGAAAGGGGCACGGATCATATCCTGAATTTTAAGTGTGCTTCCGCTCCTCGCTCCAAGGGCCAGACAGACCCATCTTCGCGATCTGGCAGGAAACGACAGACTCCCACGACGCGATGTCTAGCCAAAGGATTTTAGATCGTGAAATGGGTTTCTCCCCGAGCCACGCCAGTTCAAAAATCGTAACCCTAGCGTTGCAGTCCCGCGATTGGAATCCCTGGAGAGACAAGAAGGAGCCGCGGCACACATCTTCAAAGTTTAGGTTTTGGCTGGCCTTGCTGGGTCTTTTCCGACCTTCCCCAGGGTGGGAGTATCCCGCCCCCGTCTTGAGTTTGTACCCCGGCACCAAAGACGGAGAAAGAGAGAAAAAAAGGACTCGTGGTCAGCTGTCAATAGACCAATGACTGGCCCCAGATCCGAACCTTAGCACAATGTTATGTTCGGAAAACTACTCCACAACCTGAACTTTGAACCACAGACAAGTTGCCTTCGGAAGCCGGCATCTCGTTTTCTCAAAGGTCTACCATTACCCCCTGGGGGATAATGACACGGCGCCCCGAACACGAAAGCTGGCTGCTGATAATAATGCAACCTCTCACAGGTAGGTACTGGACATCCAGTAGGTATGCATGGCTTTGGTCCTGGCACGCCTTTCCCCCAACCCTAGTCGGCGGCTCCGCCGTATCGTCTCTTCCGTCTCCCGAAACAAAATGGGGTTTATCCCCCTTGATCATCCTGGTTTGGTCTGAACATTCAGATTCTTGGGACACTGGCAGACAAGTGTACACTACTGCACTACATTGTAATTCTTACAGAAGCAAAAAGGTTTAAGGCACTTCGCTGTCGAATTTCTTACTATTGAATTGACGGATTAAGATCGCATTGTTGCGCAGGACAGATACTACCCACGAGAAGTTCGCGCGGCACAGTGGTGGTTATTGATCAGACCGCGAAAAACGCCGTTGGTGGATTCGCATTCGACAAGTTTAATTCAAATTTCAGCAGGATCTAGGATCCCACTCGCGATATAATCCTGGTGTTGCGTTCAAGAGTGTCTGGATTTGTTCCATGATGGGGTCGATAGGAGGCGAGCGACCTCTAAAAGGTAGGTTGCCTAGGGCAGGGCATTGCCATTCAACAAACACGTGGAGCCTGTTCGTGGCCAAAAGACATTCCTTTATCCTAACATTTGTTACTATGCACAGTCATCATCGTGGGAGCCGGTCTGGGAGGATGTGCGACCGCACTGGCAATGCACAGCGCCGGGTTCGAGGTGGTCATGTTCGAAAAAGTCCGAGAATTCCTACGGCTAGGCGACTCGTTAGGACTGGGCGAAAATGCATTGAAGCTGCTGGATCGGTGGTCCCCTTCGCTCCGAGCGCGTCTGGTGGAAATCGGAAACAAGTCGGAACTCATGCAGATACGACGGTGGCACGATGGTAAGATTTTGGCGCAGCAGCCGCTGATGGATATGGCGGGTTTCATTGGCCATCGGGGAGATTATCATAAGGGGTTTCTGGATGCTGTTGCGGAGAAGGGGATTCCTTTGCATATGGGGAGTGAGGTCAGTAATGAGTGCAGTTGGCAGAGGCACACGCACAACTGGCGCATTGATTCCGGGCAATTCGTGTCAATCCGTGCTGACCCCTTCTTTTTGTCGATCCATTGCTAATCTGTCCTCAATGTGTCTGTCTAGGTGGTCGAATACGACGATACAGTCCCCTCCGTGACATTGAAGAACGGCGAACGACATACGGCGGATGTCATCATTGCCGTTGATGGTGAGTTTGTACAATTCTACTGTCGTCTCTCTTGATGAAGATCGGCTCTTGTCCATCTACTGCCCCGCACTCCCATGGAAACAATAGTGTATTAACCTCAGACCGTTGATGTTTAGGAATAAAATCCCGCGCCCGCGAACTCGTCCTCGGCTTCGACGACAAACCCAAATCCAGCGGATACGCCTGCTTCCGAGCCTTTTTCAAGGGCTCCCACCTCCGCGGCGACCCATTAACCGCCGAATTCGTGGAACAAGAATGCGTCAACATCTGGATCGGCAAGGACAAACATTTAGTCCAAAACACACTGCGCAACGGCGAGGAATTCAACTGGATCATCACGCACAAGGACACCGAAGACATTAAAGAGTCCTGGTTTCAACCTGGTAACATGGAAGAAGTGAGGAGACTCGTCGAAGACTGTGATCCGCGCATTGCCGCTGTCGTCCGCAAGACCGAGTCGTGTCTCGATTGGAAGATTTGTTATCGTGACCCGATCCCGACTTGGGTCAGTAAGAACCATACTGTGGCTCTTGTTGGGGATTGCTGTCATCCCCATTTGCCGACTAGTGCGCAGGGCGCTAGTCAGGCGACGGAGAGTGCGGCCGTCCTCGCGCAGTGTTTGCTGTTGGCGGGGAAGGGGAATGTTGCTTTGGCGGTGAGTGGATACCTGAATATGAGTGAGGGTGGAAGAATGTGGTGTGATGCTGATTTTTGTGATGTGTGTGTGTTTCAGACGAGAGTGTATGAGAAAATACGGTTTCCTCGCGTTCGGCGTGCACAGACGAATGGTGAAGATCTCCGTGATCGCTGGCATACGGCGCTGGATAAGGTTGGTGATGGGGAGGAGATTGATCCGGATAGTATTTTGATCAAGGTATGTTATGCATTAAACTGAAGAGGGTGTGGAAGAGGATGTGGAAGGGGCAACAGCAACGATTTACTGATGAGCTGACGCTTTTGTTTGGTGCAGAACAATGTTCTCTACGATTATGATGCCGAAGCGGATACTATTAAGCGGTGGCCAGAGTTGTCGGCGCAGGTGGCTGAGGAGTTGAAAACGGGGAAGATCACACCGTTGTGTTGATGGACGGGAATTGTGTTGGGTCGAATTGAGTACTACTAATAGTACTATCCAGTGGTTGTTGGATTGTGGACTGTTGGACAGTTGAACTAGAGGAACGAGCTGAACGAACGGGTTTGAACTGGTTGAACCTACAGGAGTTCCTTCGTGTCCACTGCAGTCACTGGTCAGGCTTCGATGGGCCCAAGGTCGGTAGTTAGGGGTATGATAATTTAATATCGATCATTTCAACCCGCATAAATTTGTTCAGTACACTGGATTTGATTCTTCAGCCTCGCCCAGGCTCGTCCAGCCTTGTCTCGCTGGTGCCAATGCCATGCATCACTAATGTCTGGACGCCAGGGTCGGCACAGACACACTGAAAGTACTGTACGGACCTACTGCTGTACTGTACCTTGTACCCTAGTATCTAGGGACTGGACTTTTCACTTCTCAGGGTCACCCACTGTCGACATAGATTTATAAGTATACCCCCGGCACCTCCGCCCAAGTCTTGCTCTTAACAGGACAGCCTCTTACAACTTCGGACTCACCCCATCAGTCAACATATTCCTCGTATCGCCATCCAAGATCTCCCACCCTTTCCCTTTAAACCTGCGACCCCAGATCCCGTTCCTTCCCGGCGCCAGGATACTGTTTGGGTCCAAAGCGTCCTTGATAGTCTCGTTAAACTTGCCCAGGGCGCCATTATTCCAACTATAAGTCTGGGCGACCTGGTCTGCAAACAGCAAATGCGTACGATACTCTCCATACCCATGTTTCGCACACTCGCGAATCATATCACGCATGAGATTCGTAGCACGCCTTTTGGCATCCCGGTCGGCGCGATCATAGACGATATTGGCAATATAATGCATCTCGCGACCCGCGACGCACATGGTGGGGAAAACGTCAAAGTTGTACCGGGCATGTAGACGGGTGATGATGGAATGAATCAACGCGGCGTCTTTGCCCTTTGTGGGCGAGATGGGCGAGAAGAACAGATGGGCCGCGTTGGGCTGCCAGTTCAACCAGTCTAGCTCGCGCAGGACGGGGACTCCACTGCACACTTGGACCCGTGAATGGAGGTAATGGTCGGGTGGGACATCTTGGGGAAACAATAGTTTACTTCCCTGGATGCGCGAGAACGATTGTCGTATGATTTTCAATTGGGCTTGGATCGATGCACTGTCGCCGTACTGGGTGCCGTAAAAGACCCACGACACGTCGCCGCAGGGCAAAGTGGATGCTTTTTCGCGAATCACTGATCTCGGCATAGGCCCTGGTCCGTCGTACCAGAATGATCGTGGTTTTCCCGTCACGGCGAGTTCTTGGATGACGTGCCGTAGTTGTGGGATGTTGCCTAGGATTCGCTTTTGTGCTAATGGTCGGATGATCTCGACGATTTGTTCAAAGTCCTCTTCTCGGGGAAATGTGATCATGTATGACTGGTGCCCTGTTTCGGGCATTAGCCAGAACCCCATTTTGGTGATGATCCCGTAGTTGCTTTGGCTGAAGATCCCGTCTATATAGGGCCCGTAGGCGGCTTGGAAGGATTGCCATGTCGGATTGTCGGCCCCGTCTTTGCCGGGCATCGCGCCCATTCCGGTTCGGAGAAGCTCGCCTGTCGGTAGGACTAATTCCATTCCGCAGTGGTTGGCGAAATGGTCGCCGTATGGGGTATACCTAGTAGGTAGATACCAAATGTCAGTTTGGCCTTTTCCACTTCAGTGCTTGAGTGCTCAGATAGGCGGTTCAAGTGGGAAGGGAAGGGTTGCTCACCCTACACCACGATCGATTGCGTTGCCCAAAACACTTCCACCCCCTAGATCTGGACAGTCGATCCACAAAGGTAGCTTCCGGCGCTGGATCTCTTCGTACAGTGCAAAGTACGAGACTCCCGGTTCGACGATGCACGACGCATTGTCCGCGTCTAGATTCAAAATCTGATTCATCCGCCGGCCGAGATCCAAAACCACTGATCCGGGCACACGCGGCGCGGCGCCACCGTAGCCGATGTTGCGGCCCATGGAGATCGGATAGATGGGGATCTTGTGCTTGTTGGCCCATCGTACGATCGTCTGCACTTCCTCCGTGCTGCAGGGGTAGACCACCGCGCTGCAGATTAGTTCTTCTTGGTCGACTATGTGGTATGCGTCGTGGGTGTTTCTGCAAACAGTCAGCCAGTTAATCACTTGTCGTTCTGTACAGAAATACGCAGAGCGACGAGGTTTGAGCAAAGAAAGTATGGCTTGGGCTTTTGATTCAACCGAAGGGGACTTTTCCCGGGTTGCTGGCTATACTGGCTGACTTACGGATGTTCCATATACCACCCGTCCACCAAGGGCTTGTCATTGACCTCGACATTCGCGTTGCCCAACGCATGTTTCAGCTCGGAGAGCGCAGCGTCGAACTGGTCGCGCGATACTCCCGGTGGCAGGGCAGTCCTTCTTCGTCCCACGCTGTCAGGAAGCGTTTTCTGTGAATACAGCCGCACTTTGGCGTCAACGGCTTCTTTGCTGAGTCGGGTGGGTACGCCCGAGTATTTGGTGTCTAAGGTTGGTATATCACCACCGCCACTTGAGGAGGAGGATGCCATTCTCATACAATACCGTGGAGCACTGAGAATTCCCAGAATATCAGGGCCCTGCAAGTCCTTGTGCCACGCAATCAACAGGCCGTGTAAGAGGAGGTCTCCGATCAAGACACAATAAATATCTTAGGTTCGACCTTCAAAAGGAACAAATGATGACCTAGTCAGTCAATCCAGAGTCAACAAGCAGATGCCGGATAGTGGTGCACTAGGCAGGCTTCCGTATGTTGCAATTCCGCAGTGACCGTTGTCAACCAATGATGAATGTGTCCGAGTTACCTAGCAGGGGAGCGATGAAAGCAGCGTATCCTCACCTGTACTTACTCACTTCAAGGTAAAGCCGGGGTTATGAGCAACCGCCCCACGAAATCGACGTAGTAGAGCATGGAACAGGAAGGCTGAAGGGCTCCCACTACTGACGTGCCCGCTTGATTCCTTGCTTGCAGGTGTCCATGATTGCCATTTCTGGACATGTTTTCTACCCCTCATTTTAGCAGAGAGTTTAGCAGAGAGACCGATGGAGATGCTTGCTGTTGGACCAACATGGAGAGCGAGAAAACCGATGGAAACCCCGGGGTGGGTCTGGGCAGTCATTGAAGGTTATGCGGGGGGTGGGTATTTTCCCCAGCTCCGCACCCATCACTGATAAACAAAAGTGTCAACTTGGCCAAGTTCAGAAACATGAATGGCTGCGTTGTCAATGGATGTGTCGGGTAAGGTCTAGATGCCTCACCGAGAGTCTTGGGACCTGAAGAGCGTCTTACCATCAAGCAGTTCAACGGGTTTTTTTTGCACAGGGACAGCAATTGTCAGATACCACATAAATGAGCCGAGGCATGTAATAATGGGTAGAAGTTGGCGTCCCCACCAGTCTCCAGATGAGTTGAGTTTCATCACGCCATAAGCTCTCATTGCGGGACCTTCTACCACTACTAGTAGGCTGTCAATGTGGGATGAATCCTGTTGACTTGTAGAGAGGTAAGAACGCTGGTCCCAAGTGTAAATAGTCAAGGTGGCTAGAGTGGTGTTTATCGGAAGTTCCCCAATGTCGTGGACACGGTGCATGATCCGAGGCACCCTTTACCAGGGTTGAACACGCAGATGTTGACTGAGACCAAGGCAGCGAATCTGGGAATTTTATCTGCCGTCGTCGGTTTGCGTCTCGTACGGACTAAGCCACCAAGCATGTGAGGCTTTGTAGAATTTCGATAAAGTTGGAGACAAATATATATTTAAGAGTGCGCAAAATGATGGCAGAGCACAGCGTCCCTTGAGCGATATACTACCAGAGCTGACTGTCCGGAATCATTTTCTCAGGATCTTCCTCAGATGGGCGCCCTGATTATCGCAATCAGCCTCCAGGGGCATGAAATCAAGGCCAAAAGTCGACGTCGTCATCGGGGATGAGTTGGTGGCGCCATTCTCAACAGACATTTCGAATTTTTGCACAACCAGTCTCGTAAGAGTCCAGTAGCTATCGGCGGATGTTTCGAAACCGATCTCACGGACCTGCGAGATTGGCCTCCGACCACGCGCTTCATCCCATAACGTTTTCCAATTGGCTAGAGCGGTCTTCATCGGTTCAAAAATGTTGGACGGCGCACACGCGAGTGAGGAAGGCGATACGCGGTTTAGCGGATTTCCCAATAGATGTAGCCAACAATGAGTGAACAGCACTGCAAAGCAAATGTGCATCATTAGCATATGATTCCCGAAGCTGTTTTAACATCGTCGTTGGACCGTACATACCGTGAATCAAGTAAAGCATATCCCAACAGCACAGCATCTCGTTTTGAAAGGCAAATTTGAGCTCTTCGGGGGGAGCAAAGAGTCTCTGGAAGGCATCAATCAATTTCATCCGAGTGCGAGGAAACATTGACCGTTGCAACATTTCCGAGTAACATGACAACTCAAAGTATTCTGGAAGACAGGGCATCTGCAGATCCAGTTCACAGTAGTTGATTCGTGGGGGGCAGTTGTGGAAGATTCCCATGGCCGAGTCTAATGCCAGCATGATGTTCATGGTTCTTGTAGAAGGTCAGCCGCATGATCCTTGTGCACAATTAGGCCGCAGATTATGCTCACCGAATCCGGGTTTCATTCCGTACCCAACGTTGGAATGAGATTTCATCTGGTATTGAGACGATACTTGGATGTTGTGCTGTCGGAAGTCCAAACGATCGAGCGAGCTAGAAGCATGGGTCAGCTCACACCAACCGTACCAAAAGCTCGGCCACATACACTCAAAACCTGACAGAACCGTTGCCGCCTTGCCCTCCGTCTTGCAGCCAAGTTGCCCGAGAAAAACTGCATAACCACCATCAAATATGCTGATTGGAAGATCTGAAACTGGTAGTGGAGAGTGTCCTCGTCCGGAGCCTTTGAAAGCTCGAAACTACCGGTCATTTCATCCCTTATACCCGGTAAGTTGAAGATATATGCCTCCATCACATCGAACAAAGTCTTCATCCATGCCACCTTTGCAGGTTCGGAAGAATACATAGCCCCGAGGCCAGCCGTGCTGAGCAGGAGAGCTATTGGGACCATGGTAGGTTGAAAGGACGGCGGATGTAGTATAGGACAGTGGCGGTGATAGTTGGCGAAGTACAGGTTGACACAATGATCCAGTTCGGTGTGAGTGAGAAGCTGGATGGCGGCACCCAAATGTGCTATGTTTGGATCTTCGGGATAGTCCAGGGCAAGCCTAGACGCTGTTGCCATCAGTAGCTGCCTAACTTCGTAGGCGCGGGGCTCAAGGGCCAGGGCCGTTCCAGACGCCACTCCGCCACAGCTGGTGATCTGAGACATATCGTGAGGCAGGGGAAAGGAGCCGAAGGTCATGGTCTCGAATCCTCCAAGGAAGGTATCGAAAGCAACGCCGAAATCAGCCATGTCCGCTCCGACGAAGATGTCGTTTCGCTCGTAGTCTTCACTCCAATGGGAAGCTTCAGAGGAATCCTCTGCTTCGGCGATCGCAGCGTCATCATCTTCGCCAACCAAAGCTTCCGCATTGTCACGAATTGGGAAGCGTCCGACAAAGTCGTCACCTTCCGGCCCGTTGAGAAGATGATGGATCGATATTGCATCACGGCTTTTCGGTCTGCCGGGATTCTGTGGCTTCTGTGGACTCGAAGCTAGACGATGTCAGTGGCACGCGAGGTGAACGGTAGTGGGAGAAGTCTCACATCGGATGCACTCCTTGCCCAATTCTTGACAACGACTGCACGGAGTTGTTTGGTCGCATTTCGTCCGCAATTTCACGCACGATTGACATGATGATCTTTTCCGGCCTTTGCTCTGCCCTTCTGGGACCGGTGCCTCTCCTCGCTCTTTACACCTAAATTGGTGCGCCCGAAGAACGTCACTGGAGGAGGTTAGTCGATTCTCGCTGCCTCTACGTACGGTCCGTGATGTTTACCTTCGCTTGAAGCACTTGGAGCAAAAGGTGCATGTGAACGGTCTTTGTGCAACATCTATAGCCTCCAAGTCAGAAGATCTAGATTGGGGAAGTGAACCAAAATCACTGACGTTGCTGTTGATGACGCAACATATGCGCTTTTCTCACAAACGATTTGGAGCATGACGGGCAATGAAACCTTTCGTGCCATTGCATAGGTTGGTCCATGGTTTGGACGACCATAGACAAGGTCATGCAGAGAGTATATTCATAAAGTGGTCGTGGTCGATGCTGTGGGGTCTAGAACATCAAGGTGGGTTTATGTAAGATAGATGTCGAGACCGACGCCGACAAGGATGCTGTTGGCCGTGCTTGCGAGACACTTGGTCCATAAGGCAGCAAGAAGATGGCGGTAGAACTCCCGACGACTCGTACCACGGCAGCTGAACTACGACCGACTGTAAGAGCAAATGCTCGAGCAAAAACCAGAACAAGAGGACAAGATGATGAGATGTAAACGAAGACGACGTGACGAGAAAATGATAGAAGATCGTCTGAAGTGGTCAATGGTCATGCGTAACCGAGCTTCCCCGGAACTTTGACAGACGAGTCCGGGGCAGCTTGGCGGCGACCATGTGAAATGGCGGTGGCTGAGACCATGAGGAAGAGGACGTGATTAGTCTGCGCGGGATGAAGGGGCCAGAGGGATTGCCATGGGATTGGCGTTGAAGAGGTTGAACGGTGGTCGATGAAGCGGGATGCGGGGGGAATTGTGTAAGAAGTACCTAGGTAGCTTCCCCGAACACGCCGGCGGTTGATTTAGCCTCATTGACTTTGGGATAGTGTCTGTCATTGTGGAGCGGATCCGTGTTAAGCGATGATCATGGCCCAATCGTAGAACAGCACTAATCCCCAATCGGGCCACGGCCCGTGACTGTCCATCGACTAAAGCAGTCTAAAGCGAACCAATACTACAACGACGCCGGGGGTATCTTTCGTTAGTGCGCTCTCGCTAGACTTTCCCGAATTGGCCGCCAGCTTAGTCAGGCTCAGTAAAATGACAGTAC